GGTAATTAGATTTTGAAAACTTGGAAATCCTCGATTATTTGCTACTATGTACATTTCAAAGTTGTCTAACTAGTCATAGTTGTACTCTGGCATTAAAGAGTTGAATGCTTAGTTCAACTACAAGGGACTGTTCCGATTGGATTTAGTTTCTTCCATGATGTACCAGTTGTGTCTAAACAGAATAAGTCTAGGTTCATCCACCTCAATCAAAGAAATTTGGAAACTAGATGATACCCCGCGTGTTGCTGTGGGAACTTTATAGCATTGCACTGCATCATGGACCAACTTTTACATATTATAAAGTTAAATATATGTTAAAAAGAATGAAAAAAGAAAATAGGAGGAATGAATGAACTACCATGCCTTATCCACAGCATGGCCGGCCTGCTCGCTGCTCTCCTTCGTTCCTCTCGTGACCGAATCACCATCTCTCAGTGAAAAAAAGAATCACCATCTCTTCCCTTGGTGCTGGCGCGAGGAAGGATGGGCGCCACCGAGCGATGCGGGCATGAGGCTGGCTCGTAAGGTGCGGGTCTCTGCGCACATGTCAACGCGACTCCTGTCTCCAGTGCGGTGGCGGCAATAGCTATAGCTATTGTAACTTCGGCACCAACCATGGCATTGGAGGCCACCTCAGCTCGTCCCCAGTCACTTGCCCCCATAGTTGCTGCCACTGTCATCTCTTGAACGCGAGCAACGTTTCTCCTTGCGCTGGCCTCTTCCCACCGCTGCTACTGGTGCCACACCACTGCGCGCGAGCTGATCATCCCCGCCCTCCACTACAACAAAGCTGGCGCCAAGGGAGATGGCCAGCATGGCTCTCACGATCGAGAAGGCCAGCACCTAATTCATGGGTGAGATGAAAAGGTTTATAGAATCGAACGAACCTTGCTAGCTTATAAATCTGAGCAATCCACTACTTGGTTCACTAATGGAGGAGCCTGTGAGTGGTTCTTTATTTGCTTGTGAGTTGGAGCAGTTCTTACTTCTTAGTCTGTTCAGATGCTTGCGTGGTTTTTATTTGCTCGTGAGTGGCATTTGTTAGACCGTTTAAATCCTAGGAAGGGGAATAGGTGCCTGCGTTTACTGCACTGGGAAGGAGAACATGCAAGTGGTCATTGATGCTTCAACGAAGGTGGAGAGAAGCGGGCCCTAGAATGATGACGTGGCTTCGCGAGATCGCAGAGAAATCTGCTAGTAGGTTCCTCCTATTTAGGTATTGTAGATGATGGCCAAATAGTATCCATATACCCATCTTCAACCACGTACACAAACAATCCTCCATGTACTCGTCTTCGAATATCTTGCTATCAAGTTTGGTACATCCATTGATGAATATAAAACAAAAGCATTTGCCACAAGTGCACAAAAAGACATCCCAATAAACGGAGGCATGCATGGAATTGTTCATTGCATGAGCTGTCTCAGGAGGCCCTGGTGTCCAGTCGGTCTCAAGTTGTAATGTAGCTTTTTAGTTTTATGACGAGATAAGATGAGAAGCATCTGATCATCAGAACCAAGGAATAGTTCAGAATTTATTCTTTCGAAAAGTGCGCTTCATCTGCAGCTAGGGTGTCGACATATTTGCCAAAGATAAAAAGGTTTGATTCCTATCTACCAGTTTTCAGTGATTTGGGAGGTGCCTATCAGAGATTGTGACACGGCCCAAATTAAGTCGAAACAAGGTGTAAAATAGTATTGTAGAAATGGACGGATCAGTTGGTTAACTACTTAACCTTGGTATCTATGCTAACATTAAACAACAGTATGGTCACAATATTTAATAATCATACATAGTTAGACACAGGACGTCTAGTTTTAGATTAGTTGGCAATCCACCAATTAGCGCGGAATCTAACAAGCTGACATATGTATGACAAGGTAGCCCATAACTATGGAATATTTATAGCTACTTACCATAGTAAGGTACAAAATCATACTTTAGTAACATTCTATCTATCTAAATGAAGGGCTACCAGAACTTAGCATGAGACACATTACACATCATTAAGTTTTGCTAGATGGGCTTAACAAATAGACTGTAGGTAAGTGATGTGATTATCTTGATTGATCTGACGATTAGTTTATTGTTTAATGAATCTTTGACAAATGAAGTACTACTAGTCACTAATTTATTTGACATTTAGATCATAAGTATTTTTTCCCACTACAATAGATAATAGAGAGTTTCAAGAGACATATTAACATAATGTATCATGTCATAGTGTATTCTAAGGCAGAGCCTTTTTTTTATCCTGTTGGACACTAATAAAATTGAACAGTGGCATGGTTGAGAACTGAACTAAACTAATATAATGACGTGTCGTCGGCAATCGTTATAATTTGCATGCCCCTCTTACAAAAACTTGCACTCCCTCCGTCCTATAATATATTGCATTCTAAAAATTTTAAGACAACTTAAGAGAACACTCAAATGACGCATGTACCCATAGATTATTCCAATTAAGGAGTTTCTCCTCAAATCATGGTTTCATTTTTAACAAACTTTACCAAATCTAGGCATAAAATGCACTATATTTTAGGACAAATTTTAGAAGTAACAATGCACTATATTTAATGACAGAGAGAGTAGATAGCAACAATTGATAAACATTGTTTTGCAGGGATGGTATTGGTGGGTGGCAGGTCGATCGATGGATAAACAAGAAAGCCATATGTATCTCTTAATGTTTAATTAATTAATTGATACATTTGTTTCTTTGGGTTGGCAGGTCGATGTGATACATTTGTTTAATTAATCATTTATATATATAAGAGTGTCATTGTAGAAAGACACCTTTTTAACGTGGCGTTATATGCTAGCAAGGGCTATCCTAGTTAAGATTTAACAATGATGGAACCTGCCCTCCATCTAATATGTCAACACCAAATTGAGAGTGACATTCTGTACTAGAGAACAATTTTGCTCCGGTGTTCCTCTTTTCGAAGAGCTGCACGCATCTTGAAGCGCCCAGTTAATTAATTAAAATTAGGGGGTGTTTGGTTGCCCCTCCTAAATTTTAGTCGATGTCCCATCGAATGTTTAGACACATGTATAGAGTATTAAATATAGACTAATTACGAAACTAATTGCATAGTTTGCGACTAATTTACGAGACCAATCTTTTAAGCCTAATCAGTCCATGATTTGACAATGTTTTGCTACAGTAAACATGCGCTAATGACGGATTGATTAGGCTTAAAAAAAATTTCTCGTGGAGTACTGACGGATTATATAATTTGTTTTTTTATTAGTATCCGAATACCCCATGCAACATCCTCCCGACATACCTCCTAAATTTTAGTCACGGATCCGAACACCCCCTTATTTTCGTTTGGATCTGGACTGGGGCTGACCCTACCCGTGTCCAGCCCAGGCCCAGCCGCTGCCCACTCAGCCCGGAGTCGTTTCTCCTCTTCCTATCGATCCGCAGTCACTCACGGTCATTTCTCGAAGACTCAGGAACGGGAGGACGGACGGGTGGCGGCGGCGGCGCTTTCCATCAAGCAGAGGATGCCCGGACGGCCGCGCCGCATCCTCCTCCCCGGAATCCCGGCCGGTTCGCCCTCCTCAGCTCGCATCCCCCTCTGTGGCGCTGGTATGTAGTGTGGGCAGACGGCGGCGGCGGGTGCGGCAAACAGCGCTGGACTGGGGGCACGGGGCCGGCGGCGGCAGAAGCGACGGGCGACGGCCACGGTGGCATCTGCGACAGCAGACGCGATGGGCGGCGTCGCCATCTGATTGACTCCCGCTCGTCCTCTCCTCGTCGTGCGTGATTCCAGGAAGCCGGACCGCCTGGGGACGGGGGCGTGCGAAGGGGATCCATCTCCGCCACGCAACTGAAGCGGTGGTGCTTGACGGCGCTATGTGTGCCACCGCGCCGAAGTGGTGCTCTGTGACCTCTAGCCTGTAAACCTGCTCATCTCACGGCGTGCTCAAAGCCATTGACTTGGTAAATTGTTAGTCTAAATTAATTGGTTCATGCGATGTCTTTAGTGAGTTTGGATTACTGTAGTTCCAAGATAAATTGTATGAGTTGTTAGTAGTAGTGTTCCAATTTAGCTTATATGCAGTGGAGTATTCCTGCAGGTTGATATTGTGCCCTTTGTAGCATGCACTTCCCTGTTGCATTTTATTAATCAGAATGGCAACTACAGGTTTTGCAGAGTATCTTGAAATGGACACCAATAATTAATGGTCATATGCAAATTAGCCAAGTTAAATCATATCATACTATGCAGTCTTCAAAATTGTTTGGAGCAAGCACCTGCAGATAGGTATAACTTGAGAAAAAAAAACACTTGTATTTGAGCTAAAATTTCATTTTAGAGGAAACGTAGCTGTAATTGGTCTCCTTAGTTACGTTCCATGGTCAAAGAAACTACACTCTAATTTATAAGGACTCTGGATGAACGACTCTTAGAGGGGAGGGCCTTTTTTCTGAGGTGGTGGATCAAGGTAGAGGCAGCAAAAATTGTTTAATTTTTTTTCTCTATGCAGGAGTTCTTTGGACATTGTGGAATACAAGGAAGGATGCAGTTTTTAACAATCAGATCTTGTGCAGGGAGATTGCTGATCCACAAGAGAATAGGCGCCTGTTGCTAAAGCCGAAGAATCTGGAGATGGCTGATGAACTACCAGATCAGAAACTAGTGCAGGGAGAGATGTAGCATGTGGTGACCCTTTTTTTCTCCCCAAGTCGAGGCTGTAAACTTTGTGTAGAGTCAAGTGATCTTTTGGTCATGTGTTGGTGGTGCTGGTCGTTCATTTGTAGTTCGCTAGTGGAGATGTTTCATTGGATTTATAGCTGTTCTGGAAGGGAGGACTTGCCAGCGCCTGCATGCGTGTGCAATGCCAATTTGTTACTGAATTGTACACTTTGTAATAAAGCCAGGCATGAGCCTCTTGCCAGCACCTGCATGCGTGTGCAATGCCAATTTGGTACTAATATCCAGTTTTGCCTGACAAACACATCGAGTTAGAGCTCTTGGTCTACGGCTTAAATCCTCCTTTCTAGCCACTTTGTTTCTCGCTCGTCTTCTCGAGAACACAAGAACCGCCTGAACAATAGTTGTCCAGAGTGCTTGGCACGCCTCACCTTCTGCTTTCCGGCACTAAAACCCTTGTCCCTCGCATACTTGTTGTAGAAAATGTATGCCTCCCCTTCAGTTGCAAAGGTCTTTTTGACTATCTCCCAGTACTCATCCAATGTATTGTTCATCTCTGCACCAGCTGCCATTCTCGTAAATATATCCTTTTCATAACTACAGTTGCCATCTCCCTGCAGACGCAAATGTTGTGTTTCATCAGTGTGGACATATCAAACACCGTCACAAACTAGCTGTCACAAACCAACAATATTGATCAAATAAATAGGGAGTCATATGGATAATTTACCAATGCATCTCTTTGTGCATCACCACCAATATCCTTTCCCATTGATGATAAACTTGAATTCGACGACGTGTTTTCATCATCCGAACTGCTATCATCAGCAGTCCCAAGATGGAAGTCCATTTCCTCCTCATGTTCATCTTCAACTCTGTTATCCATTACGAGCCCCGGCTGCAGTTTGTCTCCTGAATTCAAGCCACATTTCAACCAAAACTCAAGAGTTATTGGGATCTCAATGCATATCATGGAAATATGAATATTCAGTCAAAGAAAAAAAAATTCCTACTAGCTGATGATAGCAGAATACAGATCTAGTAGTGGCAAACACACCTTGTGAAATCCTGGACACTTAGCTCAGTGCAGCGGCAAAAGGAACACAGAAATGAAACATGCATCATTGTTTCAAGAGCATGATCGATCACTATACAAGCCATGCCTCAACTACTATAAGGCCTTGTTTAGATCCTCCGACAAAACTTTACACCCTATCACATCGAATGTTCAGACACATGAATAGAGTATTAAATATAGATTAAAAAAATAACTAATTACAGAGATTGCGACTACTTTGTGAGACGAATCTTTTAAGCCTAATTAATTCATGATTTGACAACAAATTGCTACAGTGACACATGTGCTTACGACGGATTAATTAGGCTTAATAAATTCGTCTCGCGGTTTACTGGCGGATTCTGTAATTTGTTTTTTTATTAGTATCCGAACACCCCCTATATAACATCCGATGTGACACCCAAAATTGTACACCCTGGATCTAAACAAGGCATAATTCATAGAATAATTAATAGCTCTCTCTTTTGGAGTACTTTCAAATAAGTTATGTCACTGTAGCATAGTGATAGAATAATTTAGTCATTTGTCAATGTGGTATGGCATGGTAGAATAATTCAGAAAGCAAGCCAGGTTGAACTCCCAAGAGTCTCAAGTACAGGCAACAGGCATCGCAAACACACCATACCAATTGGGTACCAAAAAATAATTATTATATACTATCCTACTCACCTAAAAACCACCCTAAATTGAGGCGATCGAGATTTTATACATACGTTCTACAGATCCTCGAGGCCCAAGCACATCGGCGTGTAGCCCAGCCGAGCACCGCCGTCACCGTCGGCTGCCGTCAGCCGTTGCCGTAGCCGCCCGCTGCCGTCAGCCGTCCGCCCATCCGCCGCCGCCGCCGCCCCCCCTACACAGACCAGCGCCACAGCGGGGTTCAGGCGCGGCGAAGGCGGTTGCCGTCCGCCCTCGAGAGTTGCCCCGTTCGTACGAGAAATGAAGGGCTTGTTGACGGAGGATGGAGAATATATAGGAGAAGTACTAGAGGAGAAACTGACCTGGATGCGGAGGCGGGGGATGCGGCGCGGCCGTCCAGCGGAGGTACCGTCGTCAATCTGCAGGATGGCTGGCGCTGCCGCCGTCCGCCGCTGCCTCTCCGGTTCCTGTTCCTATGAGAAATGTGCGTGCTGACTACGAGACGAGAGGAGAAATGATTCCGGGTTGGGGTGGGCGGCAGATGGGAACGGATCGAGTGGACTGCGCCTGGGCATGGGCTTGGACACGGACAGGGTCAGCCCGAGTCCAGATCCAAACGTAATTAATTTTAATTAATCACCCAGGTGTTTTGAGATGCGTGCAACCTTCGAAAAGAGGACTACCGGATCAAAACTCACTAGAGAATGCTGATCTGATTCAAGCATTCGTGTGGTAAATAAAGCAGTGTCAAAGATAACGTCGCAACCAATGCTGGTCAACAGCACAGCCTAACTAAAATCATGGCCAGCTTTTGACTAGACGCACTCGTGTACATTCCTTGCTTGGCTAAACTTACTTTTGCCAAACACAATGATTCAGTTTTAGGATATCCAGTTTACTTTACTTGTATCTTGTGATGAGTTCACTCAGGCCTTTTTAGTTTCTCCCCCTAAAATTTACTCCCTATCCGATCAAATGTTTGATACATGCATAGAGTATTAAATATAGACAAAAAAAACTAATTACACAGTTTGCGACTAATTTGCGAGACGAATCTTTTAAGCCTAATTCGTCCATGATTTGACAATGTGGTGCTACGGTAACACATGTGCTAATGACGGATTAATTAGGCTTAATAAATTCGTCTCGCAGATTACTGATGGATTCTGTAATTTGTTTTTTATTAGTATCCGAACACCCTATACTCATATGACACCCGATGTCTTTATACCCTAGATTTAAACAAGGCCTAAGTGGCACATGTACATCTGATCCAACCTAACACAGCTGGTCCCTCTCTCTTGGTTGGGCTAGATACATTGGACCAAATGATCATATCATGCACTGAGATGCAAGATGCAACCATCACAATCCCTGCCCCAACACAATGAATAATAAGCCTGTCTGTTCCTCCCTACCCAGGCAATGTGTGCTGTATACTGTTTCTATGTTGTGTGGTCCTAGCTTTGCCCTCCACGTGTAGCTAGCTTCTTCCTGTATATAATAACACGAGAGAGATGAACTCCCTCTGTCTAAAATATAAGGTATCCTACAGATTTTAGGATATACTGCAGGGTCAAATGGACGCTTATTACACTCCCTTAACTGTAGAGAGATCCTGTGTTTATTATATTTGAGACTAGTGGTAGATACTAATAATTGCTAATAATACGATTGATCTTTTAGGACAGTTAATTCATCTAGAATGCTTTATAATTTGAGATAAATTTTGAATGCTTAAATCTTTTACATTATATATTAGGACAAAGGGAGTACCTACTACTACAGTTTCCCTTTCTTTTATAGTAGCACAGTGCTCAATATGCTAGAATCTGCTCTCTCTGCACTTTATTTATTCATAGATACTGCCTTGACAACAAGTTGTTTTTTCTGTCAGAAAAAAGCCTAAGCTTATTAGTTGCACGATTAAAGAATGGCATTTAAGCTACAGTGTATTTGATCCAATAACTGCCACCTTGCACTTCAGAGAGATTGATCATTGCATATATCAAACGTATACAATGATTGTACGGACTTTGCCAAACGTATACAATAACTGCCATCTTGTTGTCACCAGTTTTATGGCCCACTTGAGGCTTATCAGTCCAACTTTGCCAAACATTGTACGGATAAACATCAGCTACACACACATACAAACTAGACTTTGCTTTGATGGCACGTTTGAGCTTCCTATATACAATGATTCTATATATGCAGAGCTGATCTGACCACGCCACAAGGAGGTATAATAGGTTAAGAGATTTGAACACATGCATACATGCATGTATCAGGAATCCAAGCATGTGCTATCAAACAGATAGTAGTTGTGCTGGCTAGTAGCTAGAGTAGGTAGATTCGGTGTACATGATGTTAAATTTCTGCTTTGCGCCAAATCAGGTTGGGCTGAAGACTTTAAAATGGTAACCTAGCTTCGTCATGTGTGTGTGCTGAGAGATGGTGACGTGGCAAAGGAACAATAATCATATGTATTAGCAATGGAACAAGCAGAGTTAGTACATCGCTCTTCTACCTGTTTTATCTCTTGAATGTAGACTGTAGAGTAAATTTAAATTTAATTAGGACCATTATTATTGCACAAATCAAGCTATCTTTGTTTTCTTTTTGATGGAAAGTATTCATAGGTAAATGAGTTTGTTTGTTGGTTGGTCTACCAAGTGTTGGATTACTCAAGCAACCTACCTAAGTTCGTTCCCAATGTTCGTCTAAAAAAAAGTTCGTTCCCAATGGATATTTACTAAAACATGTTGCGTGTGCCAAGTAGTCTCAAGTGTCTGGAATTTATTTTTAGGAGTTCTAGAAACTACCTTTAAGAGTTTTGCATCACGTGTTGTAGACTTATGGAAAGGAAAACCGCTTAGAATTAATTTAGTTTTAGTCAGCCAAACAATAAATGAAGAAAGCAATCTGTCAACATTAGTAGGGAATCTTAACTTGTAAGTGACATGTTGCTATCATATATTCTTATAAAGCTAAACCCCACTAGATGATTTCTGTCTTCATGCAAGGTGTCCACATCATTCCCCAAAAGTGATCCTCACTAAATATTATATCTCTTCATGCAATGTGTCCTCATTATTTCCCACTAATAAATCCATGTCATCCTTTATTGATTACAAAAAATATCCATGCCATCTCTATCATGTGAAAATACTTTAAATCTTTAATTTATTAACATACAAGTCATCTACATATGCTATTTGTTTAATCACCTATTCCTCTATAATGTAATCAAATATTCTATTGGTTTTTCTTCTACTAGCTTACCGATTTTTTACCAGATCTGATACAATAAAATAACATGCAAGTCAAATTCATATATATGTATATACAGTATATTGAACCAAGAACAGATCTTCAGACAACAGGTACTAATTAGCTGATGGCACATTCTATCTGCGGTTTGTATATTGCAAAATGCGCTGGATTATCTCTGCATCTCAACTCGACGAGGTCACCGCAATTTCTCACCACTCTCTGCGTTTCTCCTGAATCAATCAATCAATCAGGTACACGAGCTGCACCGGCTGTACCATGTCCAGAAGCAGCTGATGCAGCAGGCACAAAGGACTGCTCTGGCGAGCCATGGCCCGGTGGTCATCGACGTCAAGCCGAGACCACAGCTGGACATCTGGTGCAGCGAGAAGGCGACAACAAATCCTCAGTAGCATATCGTCAGCTTCACCAGCTGCAACAAGGCCACAACACCTGCACCTGCGTTTGCACTGGCCGAGGAATGCAACCTTGAGCTGACACTGGCAACGGGATCGAGTAGCAGCAGCAGCAACAGCAGCTGTGACGCCGAGAGGCGACAGCGGAAGGGGTTCAAGGCGTCGTCCAACTGCGACTCCGGTTCGACCGCGGCGTCATCCACGTCAACGGACTCCGAGATGGCTCAGTTCAGGGAGGTGGACGTGGCAAAGCCGGTGAGGTTTCATGGCGAGATTTGCAGGAGGATGGACGAGATGGGGTAGGGTCCATGTAGGCCTGAGCCTCAAGATGGCGTGATGATGGGAGTTCACCTGGTGAGAGAGATTAGTATTATAGGACCTGTACGTATTCATGGGAGTCTAAAAAAAATATGTTCACAACCGTGCTTGGCCCGATGGAAGCATCTCCAAGGGCTACAGAACAGAGGAGTCATTGAGTTT